GCCCCCAGCCAGCCCACGGCTCGCTGGATCCTGACTTGCTGGCGGTGCTGTTGCAGCCGTGCCAGCCCAGCACAGGGCCTGCTTGATCCCCTCCTGCCACAGCAGCTCAGATCTTCCTCCATCACCGAGATCTGCAGGGCAGCTCCGGCTGCGGTGCCGCGGCCTCGGCTCCCCTGGCCCTGTTGCAGCTCGGTGCTGAGGGATTGTTCCTCCCTCCTCAGTGCTGAGGGATTGTTCCTCCCTCCTCAGCTGACGGAGGCTGTTCCGCTCCAGCTCTCCTGGATTACCCGGCATTAATCGCCCCGTGGCATAAAAGCATCAGGCAGAGCTGTTCCACACAGGGGAGCGTGCGGAGAGAGTGGGAGAACAAAAGCTGCTGCTTCCACATCAAACCTGCTGTGGGATTGGGAAGCACAGCTCCATGCAGGCCGCAGTGGCCCTGCCTCGGGAATCCTCCCAGAGCATCCTGAGCCTGCCCCACATCCCAGTGAGCAGCCGTTCACTGGGGCTGCACTGGGGAGGTGCCTCCCCGCCCTCACGGCGCGCTTCCATCCCCGCAGGTGCCCCGGAGGAAGGTCCCCGCGTGGTGTTCATGGTGGACCTGTGGCACCCCAACGTGGCCGCGGCCGAGCGCCAAGCCCTCGACTTCATCTTCGCGCCGGGACGATGATGGCACTGCCCGGCCCGGTGGCTTCAGGGCAGCTCGGCCGGGGCCTCTCCCGGCGCACGGCCTCGGTGCTCCCTCCCGGGGGTCTTGTAAATGGAAACTGTGACGTGTATCCGCGCCCATCTCCTTCCTCCATCGTTGGCTTCAGGGATTCTTTTCCAAGCGCCGGCGCCTCGGCCCCGCCGGGGCTCGCCGCCCCCCTGCTCCTTCGTGTTCTGTTGCTACTGTGTTTTGCAGTGTTCAGAAGTAGAGTAACAAACCCAAGGGTGCTCGTTTGAATGTAATGTAAAATTTTTCTCGTGGTCATCAAAGGAACAACACACACACACACACACGCCATAACAGCCAACCGGCCTGCCCTGCCCAGCTGCGGTCCTGGATGGATGGACAGATGGACACTGGGGGCTGCCATGGGCGCCGTGCTCCCCCCAGGCTGGGTCTGATGGGCAGAAAGAGCCCTCCTGGGGCTCCTGCTTCCTCCTCCATGTGCCAGCCAGGGCTCCCCAGCCCTCCTGCCCTCAGAAACCACTTTTGTCACCCAGGCAGGGAGCAGAGTCCATCGCCAGCCCAGCAAGGCAGGAGCCCCGACCTCCACCCTACTGAGGGGACAGCACACACAGTCGTGCTCTTCAGTCTGGCCAAGGGCATTAGCAATTGCCCAAATCCCTTCCTAGCTCTATCTGCAACCCTCAGTTTTTCCAGCTCCCAGCTGGGAGGCCCTGCAGGGGCACTAATGCTGTTTAGAAACAGAGAAATGGGGGTTTTGTCTGTCTGTAGGAAGAAAGGAGGTTACCATTCCTTCTGCTGCTCCATCTTCTCCTTTCCTCAAGCCAGGGCAGGCACACACAGCAGCAGCTCCCATGGACCTGAGGCCACAGGACAGGTTCTCAAGGGGGGTTAATTCTGCAGCCTGAGCAACGAGGCCCCACCCTGAGGTCCTGCCCAGCCAGGGACCACCATGCTTTTCCTGAAGCCCCCCAGCACCAGGGTCTGTTTGGGGGCTGGGGGCTGGTTTATAACACCCCCCAAAGCACAGTGTGTGGTGGATGCTCACAGCTCTGGCTGAGGACCCTTTGCCTCTGTGTCCTGCCCGGGAGGGACCAGCCCTGTCCCCCAACAACTTCTTTACAGACTTTTCAGTGAGTCGATTGCAAGAGAAGGCAGAGATTTCAAATACATCTGAGATATTTTTTACACCCGCCTTGTTACAGACTACCTGAAGTGCATGATTTCTACACGCATTGGCTACCTGGACACAGGCCCTGGGGAAGCAGGCTGGCTCTGTCCAAAGGTTGGTAACATTCATACAGTGGATAAGCAAAGATTATCAATAAACTGTTGTGCTGAAAACAGAATGGGCTTTGCCTGCTGCTCTAATAAGTCCAGGGTGAAGCAAACACCGAGGGGTTGGGTCCTGCTTATCTGGCTGCTGATGGTGAGAAGTGGCCTGGAAAGAGCAGGAGCTGCAGGGTGGGAGGGGGCACGGGCCTGTTTGCCAGGGATACAGTGAGCGTGGCTATTGTTCAAAAACACCTAGCCCATGGAAGCTCTGTCCTGACCAGTTACAGCCTCCCAGGCCTGCATTTGGCCAGTTAGATGGGCCCCTGAGCAACCTGGTCTAGTGGGTGAATCCTTGGCCATGGCAGGGACTTGGAAATGGATATTTGAGGTTCTTTCCAACCCAAACCATCCTGGGATTGTGATGTCAGTGGAGCCCAGGCTGCCAAGGAGCACAGGGAGCATCTCCCACAGCCTGCTGGTAGGGGACAGCTGTGGGTTCCAGCCCTGCTGCCTGGCCCAGAGCAGCAGACACTGTCCCCAGCCATCCCCAGGAGCAGCTGCATGCCCAAAGCTCCTCACAGAAGCCATCAGCCTTGCCAGAGCATCCATAAACCATTTCAGGAATTGCTTCCAGCTGCCTGCACTGATTCATCAAAGGCAGCAGCTTCCCAGGAGCGGCTCCAGGGCAGAGGGTGCTGCTCAAACCCCACCCACCTGCCTGCAAACCAATGCCTCACCCCCTTAAGCACAAAGCCAGCTTGGCAGGGCAGGAATTGCTCCCCATGAGCCCCCCTGGCAGCACTCAGACAGGCCCAGCTGCTCCTCATCCCCTGATGCTAAAATGCCCCATTTTTAAGCATCCTCTCCAGCACAGGCCGGGAGCTCTCTGTGTGCTGTTCCCTCCCGAGCAGCACAGGACAGGCGTGGGCTGGGTGGGCAGACATGGGCTGGGGGGGCAGATTCAGCCCCAGCAGCTGAAGGAGCAGAGCCAGCCCAGCTGTTCCTGGCTGGCAGAAGGCTCAGCAGATTGCAGAGCAGCATCCCTGACGGCAGCAGGCAGGAGCATCCATCCGGTTTGTGCTTTGCTGCTGTGCCAAATCTCCCTCCTGTCCCTCTCAGGCTTTTCCTTCCACTTCTCTGTGTTTCCTGCTAGAGCAAACAACGGCTTCCCAAGCACCCAGGCACGATCTAAGTGGATCTCCCTGAGGAGCAGAGCAGGCTGGAGCTGCTCCTGGTGCTCCAAGGCTTCCTTTCCTGGGAATTGCAGAGGGAACCCAGATCTGCTGAGGGCACAGAAGGAACAGGCAGAGCAGCATCTCCCAGAGGGGTCACTTGGCTCAGCTGAGCAGGGATCCCAGAGCACACAACCCTCATCCCTTCTGCCTTCTCCCACCCCACGAAGCCTCCCTGATGTTCTTCCTCACGATGTTCCCTGTGCTCCCTGCAGAAGCAGAGCAGTTTGTCCATCACCCAGTGGATTTGTGCAGGGAAGTCAGCAGAGAAGCAGCACCTTACCTTGTGCCACCTTCCACATGGATGCCACTGAAACAGGAAGTCACCAGGGTGGCTCCAGCTCAGGATTCCCATGGAGTTTCCCCTCCTACACTGCCAACAGGATCCTGACAGTCCTTCCATGCCCAGGATGGGAGCAGCTCCTGCTGAAACACCTCCTCAGCTGCCAGGGCTGGCAGCCGGGTGGCATCTGTGCCCAGCCACCCCTGAGCAAGCAGCTGGCTCGTCCTCTGGAGTCCTCTGAAATTCCCAGCAATGTCTGTGGAGCAGCCCTGGGATGACAGAGCAACTCTGGGAACTGTCTGTGCTGGTGTGGTGCCACAGGAGCTGTGGCAGTGGTGACTTTCCTGTGCCCAGCTCTGAGCCTGCTCAGCACCTCCCCATGTCCATGTCTCTGCTCACCATCTTTTGGTGACAGCAGTCACACATCTATCCATCAGGAAGCTTCCAAGCAGCTGCTCTGCAGGACTGATTGAACCAACAGGCTCTGCCTGTTCAACCCCAGCACTGCAGGAACCACCCTTGGAGGAGCTAAACAGGGAACAGCTCCCAAAACCCAGCCCATCACACCAGGAACCACAAACATGACAACAACGTGACTCTGGCTGCTGACACACAGTGCTGGGATGAGCCTGGGAGACTCCTTTATTTCCACAGTCACACTGAGGGGTGTGTCTGCAGCAGCAGCAGGTTCCAAGCCCTGCCAAACACTGGTATCCATCCCTCACTCTAAGCAGCCACCATCACAGCCCCCCCGGGCCAGCACTAAGTGAGGACACTGTCAGAGCAGAAAGGGGACAGCTGCTGAGGGGATACAAAACCTCTTTGGTCCCACCAGCTAAGAGGCAACTTCAGGGTCTGCAGAGTGTGGGCAAATGTAGCAGGAAGAGCAGTGAAGTGAGATCCTGCAGCAGGAGGGAGGGAGCACAAGGCTGAGGGACATTCACACCACCACCACCCAGCTCCTGTCAGGCTGCGCATCCAGGTGGGCACAAGGAGGGCAGGACTGGGCTGGACAATCACTGACCAGGGAGGTGTGGAGGGACAGGGACAGTTTTTGTGTAAAAACCTCCTGGGAGCACCCACAGGGGGACTGTGAGCTCTGCAGCTCTTGTTCTGCTCCCATGTGACATCAGGCAGGCACTGCCAACCAAGGTAAGGCACTACGTCATGGCAGGATCATTCCCATGGATTAAGGGACAGAAATAAAGCCAAAGTCTGACCAGGGCAGGCACAGACAGTGCCTGGCTGACATCTCTGAAAGCCAGCAGTGCCTGGGGGCTGTGCAACTCAGAGCAAAGTGAGGTTTTACCTCAGATCAAGGCACGTGGGGACTCTGCAGAGCACCAAGAGAGTTCCTGTAAAGTCCATGTAAACCAAGAGCCCCAAGATACTGCGTTCTGTCCTCAGTCTTTGGTAAATGCTGTCAGTGACACCTGCAACGGCCCAAAACATGCTGCAGGACAGGGGAAGGAGTGTCCCTTCCTCAGCCTGGAGAGGCAGGGCAGGGCCTCCTGTCTCTGTGGGCATAAACAGCTGAGATTTTCCTTACTGGAGATGAACGTTTCACAGGGCTGAGCCGTTGTCTGAGCACAGCAGCTCACAGCAGGTTCACCCCATGCTTCAGCAGCTTCTGCTTGGCCTTGCTGGGCAGGCTGAAGGCACTGTCATGTGGGTTGGGGACGCCTGAGTTGCGGAGTGGAGCTCCCAGCTGCTGGAAGTAGGTCTCCTGGACAGGGTTTCGGCAGGCGTACACGGCTGTGGAGGCGTTCCTGGAGGGGCAGGGAAAGGCAGGGCTCAGACTGACAGCTTTGGGCAAGAGTCACAGCTGGGCACTGGGATCCCAAGTTTTGAGAGGGGCTTTCAGATGTTTCAGTATGGGAACATGGAGTTGAACAGGCACCAAACCCCTGAAGGTCACAGGAATCCAGACCCTCCTTCTAAAGGGTCCTGGCATCCTTAAAAGGGAAAGTGAGATATCACCAAATCATTTAGTTTGGGAAAGACTTCCAAGGCCCTCGAGTCCAACCTGTGACCGAGTCCAGCTCACTGCTCTAGACTGGGTGACAAGGTGGTGTGGGAATCCAGGGCTTCCCTCTGGCTGCCCTGGAAGGCCTGGGACCCTGGCAGGGGTCAGGAACCCCCCTGGACAGAGCCCCCAGAGACACTGTCTGTGATCTCTGCCCATGGAAAAGAGTTTTCTATCTCACAGGATGAATTGCCAGCTCTGAGTGTTTGATAGAAGTAATAATTAAGTGTGGCACGGGTGCAAAAGTAAAATTTTAGGATTCTAGATTAGGGGTCCAAAGGGGACAAGATGGAGGAAATTGGGTGTGCCTTGTCCTTTTTCACCTTCTTCATGCCCTCCATGTTTCACTGTGGTGTTGGCATTTTTCTGTTGGTTCAGGCTGGGGACACACTGTCCAACGTAGGTGACAGATATTGGCACGTTATTGTAAATGCAGCCCAGGGAGTTTCTGGTATTTAATGTTTGTAACATCCCACTGAGGGCAGAGCCCCACATGCTGCCCTGCAGGACAGAGCTGGGCAGGGCAGCAGAACATGTGAGAGATAAACAGAATAAACAACCTGGAAACCAGCACAGACCAATTATGGCTTCTGCTTTGGCAGAGGGGCAGAAAGACAGAGACTTTCTACAATCTCAGAATCATCAACACCTCAGATTCCAACAAGATGGGGACTGGTCACAGGTTGGACACGATGGTCTGGGAGAGCTTTTCCAAACTTAATGATTCTGGGATTCCATGTGTGCAAGATTCCCCTTGCTGCCAGTCCTGCCCAGGACACCATGAGCCTGGGACACTCCTCGTGCCTGACATTCCTCCTCTCCCACTGCTGCTGGCCACAGCCAAACCCCAGCACATCACCTTGCAGCAGGAGCCACGAGTTCACTCATAGGTGCGATGAAGCTCAGACAAGAGTCAGATTCAGCCACCACCAAAGCTATGATTAAAAACATTAATTAAGACTAAGAATCCCCCCTCCCAGAGTATTCCTGGCAGGAGGGCTGGCAAGGAGCAAAGCCAAGGACCCTGGATTCCTCCTCGAAGGAGGAAAGCAGCAACTGCTATGTTTGCTGACACCCTTCTGTGACAGCTCTCCATAAAAGAAAGCAGTTTTAGTCATCGTGTTACTCAGACTGATTCACACATGGAGTTGCTTTTTTCGGGGTAACAGGGAATATGCCAGTTTAGCCAGTCAGTTTGGGATTGGATTTAAGGAGCCAGCAAAGCTCATGCTAAACAAGGAATTCTCCAGCACTGAAGTGTGTGATTCACATTCCCTTGGCAAGCGGTGCCAGAGCAGTGAAACTGTGTAATTCCCAGAAGCATCTTTTATGTCATCATGTTTTGAACAAACAAGCAGGACCAGGTGGGTGGAAATCTGTGCACTCCCAGCTCACTTGAGGAAAGGGGTGTCCACTTCAGCAGTGGCCTGGAAAAGGGCTCTGGATGTCAGGAAAAGCTCTGGGTTTTGGGAAGGGCTCTGGCTGTGATAAGACCATCCTGCCTGGTGCATCGCAATTGAGTTTGCCATGCACATCACAGTGTGTTTCCAACCCAACAAGCCGTGCAAGGAAACAATATCTAGGTTGCCAATTCTGGGCGCCTTTGGCTCCGTGCCGAGACACAAATTTATTAGGAACAGCTAAATTTAAAACTGTGTCTTTGAACCTTACGCTGCCAGGAACTGGCAATTGTGCAAGTGCTGCATCTTAATCCAAGCCATGGCACCACTCAGCTGTGCCCTCAGTCCACCCTCCTGCTGCCACTGCAGCCTCTCTACATCCAGGAACCCACAAGTCAAAGCAGTCTTAGGGAATGAAGCTTGTGACTGGTCCTTGTGTGTGGTAACAAAAGCCTTGGAAAGGGGTTCTGCCCTTGTGTGAGCAGCCCTGTGCCTGGGACAGGAGGGTGTGAGCAGCCCTTACCTGATGATCACTTCTGAGGCCGTGGGCAGCTGGCTGAAGTCGGAGTGGATGAGCGTGGCTGCCCTCAGGAAGTGCCGCTCCAGGGGCCCGGGGCTGTGGGGCAGGTTGGCTGCACAACAGGAGAGAGGAGGTGTTAAAAGCCCACTCTGCACTGTTCACTGAGCAGGACAGGGCTCTGGAGCTTGCCACACACCCTGGACAGCTGCACAACAGGCTGGGGACACCCTCAATCCCAAGAGACAGAGCTCTCCCAACAGGGCTTTGATCTGGGCTCTGTGGTGGGAGCTCTGCTGAGGAATGGTGTCTGAGGTGTGAGGAAAGGTTCCCATTGAAACGTAAACTTGAAGGAATTTAGAGATTTTAGAGGAGCTAAGTTAGAAATAAGCCTTACTGGAGTTAATTAAAATAATAATAATAATAAATGAGTAGGCCTTGATGAAGTTAAGGGTTAGTAGTTAACTAATAATTGCTTGTCAGCACAATGTTTAGCTAGCTGGGTTTATAATGAAGAATACACAAACTGACAAATAGCTTTTAGGAACATGAGACAATTGTGGGCCTCCTCTGTTCTGAAACCAATTGAAGACAAGGAATGGGAGTTCTACCAAGAGTTCATTTGTCATATTTGCATCGAAAAGGTAGAAAGGTCAGAAGGAGGAAGACTTCATTGACTTCCTCATTTTGGGACCCCTCCCCATGAAAGGGACACTCACCCATTTCAAGGAACAAACTACCCATGCTGAATGGCTTTTGGAGTGATTAGCATATGAAGTGAAGAATGGGATGTATCAAAATGATGAATATGTATCTGTATTTTGGGTATTCAATACTTGTATGGATAAAAGGACTCTGTAATCACCTGGAAGCTGTGGTGTGGATTTGGGAGTGATCCCACATGCAATAAACACACACTTTCTAACTTTAAACTGTTAGAGTTTTTGTCCGTCACAGTTGGATACCGGTACTAGATCAATATCCGTATTTTTTTAATAATCACCCATAAACCCCATTTTCCTCACTGCTCCCTCCTGCAGGCCCAGAAGATGAAGGCTCACCCGTGAGGACGTTCTGGACACAATCATAGTGTGTGAAGCTGTAGTTTGTCCTGGCTGAGGCCGAGGAGTCCTTGGGCAGGGTCTCCCTCAGGTGAACCTCGAGGCCATTTAGGGAGGCCAGGCTGCTGTGGTACTGCAGGCAGAGGGAAAGGAAAAGTTCAGAGCCTCACCTGTGCCTCACCTGAGCTTCAAGGAGGTTCTGGAAGGAGTTCAGGTGACAGAAGGACCCTTCCTCACTCTGCTGTCCAGGCTCCCACCTAAAAGAGCTGGGAAATTTTGGCATGGAGAGAAGCAGAGAAGTCAGAGAGCTCCCAAGGCAGTGATGGGGCTCTGAACAACCTGGTCCAGTGGGAGCTGTACTGCCCATGGCACGGGTTGGAACGGGATGGGCTTTAAGGTCCTTCCCAACCCAAACCAGTCTGGAGTTCTATGACTCAGAAAAGGGCCCTCCAACCTGAAAATCAGCCATTAAGCCACCTGATGCTACTAATTACAGGAAAATGCAAGGCCCCATTAATTTACCATCAACCATTACTCTCCAGGGCTCATTTCACATGATTTACAGCCCCAGCAAGGGACATTCCTTTGCTTACAGCAGGCAGTACAAACACACACAACAAAGCACTGAATGAATGCCAAGCTGCTGTTCTGGATGGATTTTCAGTAGCCCAGAGGCCCTGGTCATGCCGAGGCTCCCTGGGCACAGGCAGGGCACAGGCAGGGGTGCTCCACCACTCCTGGGAAGATTAACTCCATAATCCTCATCCTGCCAATGCGCTTTCCCCTACTGGGGAGAGGATCAAGGCTTTGTTCAGCAGGACGGCAGTGCCTGGCCTATCCTTGACCCCTGTCATGGCACAGATTTTTCCCTTCTGTGCACTGAAATGGAGGGATAAGACCTAAAGAGCAGCAGGAGGCGAGGCCAAGAGCCTCCCACCCCGCAGGGAAAGTCTGGGATGGAACCCGCCCTCCCAGAGGTTCACAGCTGCACAAGTAGCATATTTTAACCTTCTTTGGTGTCATTTGGGGGCCTCAAAGCATTCAAAAAACCCCATTAATTACAAGTAATCTTTGACATCCCTGAGAGCCGAGGGTCATTTTTAACATACAGATAAACAAAAGGACAGGCAAGCTGAGGTTGTGCCTCAAATCCACCAGCAGCAGAGCCCAGCTGCACCTCCTCAGACACTGCTCCTCCTCCTGGGACAATGGGACACGAAGGGCACCTCTCCTAAGGGATAACACACCTGCACCCACGGAAGGGTGCAGCAGAAGAGTCCAGTCACAGCTGAATTCCAAGCTGTGTGACAGTGCAGTTTTGGTGAGATCCAAAACAAGGGTACGTGAGATGGAAGCAGGATGTTTGGGAAAAGAGGAACCTGAATGGAATGAGAGCTTGTCAGCACCGGGGCAGGACATCAAGGAAGATGGACTGTGCAATCCCTGTGCAATAGGGATTCCGCTCTCCAGAGTGACAATTCCCACCTGCCTGTATCCCCCTGCTGCTCCAGACAAGCAGAAAGGGGACAAAGTGCCATGTCTGGTGCAAAGGGCCTGGCTGCACCTCTGGGCTCAGCTGATTTGGCAGCAATCCCAAACCAGGCACATCAGCCCTGCTGTGCAGAGCAGACATTCCCCAGCTGCCAGGGCCCCAGGTGTCCCAGAGCCCCAAGGGGAAGGAGCAACCTTGAGGCTCTGCATTAGTCTGAGCTTCCCTCCACCTTCCAGTCTGGCTGGGTGAGGAAATTAGGTTGTTCCTATGGCAACTGGCATATCAAACAGGGCTCTGCAGCTTTGACTCAGCTCCTGGTAGGGAGGCAGAGGCCAGGCAGCAGCTCTGCAGCTGCTGCTTCCCGGGAATGATGGGGGCCAGCACATCCTGCCCCTGCAGCCCTGTTAGCTCTGCTCACAGGGGAGTCTGGGCACTGAAATCCCACCACAGGGACATTTGGGATTGCTCTGGTGTTATCCAGGTGCAGTTTCCACGTGGCATCCCTCTCCCCAGCCCCAGGGAGCAGCCTGGAGGCTCCCACAGCCAAGGGAACCTCTCTGGGACCTGCTGCCAGCCACGTCTGAGCTGCTCCCCAAGGGAGAGGCGGCGACGTGCTGGGGCTTCAACACAACCAACCTCGCTTCCCAAAAAGCACCAAACCGACAGGGATCCCCAGTGAATCCCAGCTCCAGCACAGCCCCCTGGCAGCCCGCGGGTGTCTGTCACACCCCCGCACTGCGCTCCGGTGCCGGCAGTGCCAGACAACAGCAGCACCGGGAGCTGCCTGCGAGACGCGGCTCCGCTCGCGCTCCGACAGCTCCCACGCAGCCGCCGAGCCCGGCACGGCTCGGAGCAGGTGATGGAGGCACGGGGAGCACGATTCAAAGCTCCCTCCTGTGAGCCCCGTGCCCCCTGGCAGTGCAGCTGCAGTGGGGCAGAGCTTTCCCACTCACCACGTCCTCCACGGCACCGCGGTCCCGGCGCAGCTGCTCCTCGGCCAGCAGCGACAGCACCAAGCCCTGGATGCTGTGAACGTAGAGGCTCAGCTGGGCTGGCTCACCCCCTCTGCCACCCAGCCTGTCCCCTGCAGGGGCGCTGGGCAGAGCCCCCTGGAGCCCTGCTCCCAGGAGCTGTGCGTGTCCAGCAGGGCCCAGAGAATCCAAGCCCTGCACGTGGTCACCAGCTGTGCTGTCTCCTCCTCCAGACACACGGGCCTGGCTCACAGGCCATGGCTTGTCCTCCTCACTGGATTTCCTTCTGCTCAGCTCCCGGGCAGGAGAGGGAACAGCTGGATTGTGGCTGACTGAAAGGGAATTTTGGGAAGCACAGTGACCAACATCAGAATCTGCAGGGGTTTCCCCCTTGTCCTGGCTCTCCTGCTCCCCGGAGTAAGGGTTGGGGAAGGAGAAGCCTTCCAGGTATGGACCTGTAGTCCAAGTACATTCAGTCTGGAGTGAGGAAGGGCTTGGGAGCTGCTCTGTGTTGCTCTCTGAGGGGAAGGATGTTTTCCTGCTGAGCTCTGAGCTTTCACTGCCTGCTCTGCTCAGGTTTGCAGCTGGAGAATTCCTTGTGCCAGCTCCCATTCCGGAAAAGTCTGTCAGAGGACTTGCAGGGCTGCCCAACTGCACAGCATCTCCTGGGGCAGGTGTGCCCGAAGGGTCCTCATGGGACTTCTGCACAGAGATTCCATCCAAGGCTTGGCTTTCACGAGCTCCTGTTGATTCTGGAACTGCCTGGGAGCAGAGAGCACTTGCCTCTCCTCTGGGGCCTGCTGGGGACATGGGTGACCTAGTGGGAGATGACAAGTGGATGAAACACTGAGCAGGATCTGCATGGAGTTATCCCATAGCTGATAACCCCACTGGCTCCTGGCACTGATCAATGGCTGATCCATCCCCTGCTACAAAGAAAAGAGTGGGCTGAGGTCTAACACAGGTGAAAAGCCTGGGAATCTTACACTGCACGCTCCTGGGAATGTCCCTCCCTCATCCACCAAGCAGTGCTGTGAGCTGAGGGACAAGAGATCACAGCTGGTCTGGGGAAGAAGCTCTGCTCCAGGCTGCTCACAGCAGGGATATGGACATATGGACACGGGAATTCTGCCCAGCCTGAGGGCCTCAGGCAGCTCCAAAGGCAGTGACAGAGCCTGAGTCAGCTCCAGGGGAAACACTGACAAAGGCAACAGGGACACAGCGCCTGTGTGAGCTCCTGCTGCAAATCCTGCCTCTGGCCAGGCTGCTTCCTACCTGGCCATCCACTCCACTGGGAAGTCCCGGAGTGCAGAGACCTCCTGTGCTGTGAGGAACACCGGGAGCATCCGGACACCCGGCGGCAGCAGAGGCTCTGCAAGAGCAGGGCAGGGGTGAGGATTCAACAAACACATCCCAGCTTAAAACCAGAAACCAAACCTCATCATCCCAAAGGCTTCTGCAGGAGCTGCAGGCCTGTCACGATCCTGCATCCCAGCTGAGCTGGGCAGCCTGGTCCCACCCTGCTCATCCCCTTCATGCCTGACACAGTTAAATTTCCCCTCCGTGTTTCCATCCTGGCAGATCATCTCCACACTGATGCTGAGAGGGGATGGCTGGAGGTTTGGGCTGCAAGCACCAGCCATCTATTACCAGGGCCTGGCAGTGGCCAAGTGGCCACATGGGGAACTGGAATGAAGGCAGGCAGGGTTGGGAATCTGCAGAACTGGAATGAAACCCAAAAGAGCAAACCCAGCAGAAGGAGCTGGTTCTGATCACACAGCACAGGCTGGCTGGTGGCAGCAACACCCTCTAGGGTATTTTGGAGATACTCCAGCACCCAGCACAGCTTGGATGTGAATCCCAGAGAACCAGCTCATGCTCCCATGCAGGGAAGGCAGCACATAGGATGCAGCTGGATGCTCACCAGGCTCTTGCAGCTCCTCAGCTCCAGGCTCACTCTGCAAGAAAAGCCAAAAATCAGCTCAGTGCATGGATCAGGGACACCAGGACACCTTTGTCACCCTCCTAGTCCTCCAACACCACAGCAGATCCCACACTACCCCCCCAGCAAATGCTGGGACTGTTTGGTGCCAAGAAGGGTCTTGATCCTTAGGGAGCTTTCAAAGCCAAGGGGAGCTTCCCAAGAACCAAAATACACCTAAAAATCAGGACAGAGCCCAGATTTATCACCACCACCTCCTTAGGGCACAGAAACTCCTTTAATTCAAGCAGAAGAACAGCAAAGGCTGCCTTCATATCTGCATACTGATGGTTTTTTTATAGAATATCTTGATCACATAAATACTCACATTTGACAAGTTTTAAAGCAAATGAAAAATACTGTTTGCCAGACACTCATTTGGTGGATTTCCCAGTAAATACCAAAACTTGTGTAAAAATCAAGTCAAAACACCACATAAATGAGAACTCACAAATTCAGTAAGTTAAAGACTGAAAAAAAAAAAACCCTAATCCTAGAGTAGAAGTCTTAGAACATTTTTAAATCATAACTAGTAACAGCTTTAAGCATCATCACCAATATTTGTCCTTCCCCATGGTGGAACATGCCAGGTCAGTGTGACAAGAGCTCTCACACCACATCCTTACAGGAATCTGCTTGCAGGGAACGTGCTCAGTACCATACCTGGCCTGGGGACTCACTGCCCTGCAGGAGGACTTTGGCAGTGAGTGGAGGTGGCAGCTGGGTGCTCACAATCCTGAAAGGACAAAGCAAAGTCAGAGAAACACAGAATGGTTTGGCTTCAGAGGGAACTTGGAGATCATCAGTTCAGACAACTCTGATGACATTTGGTGACAAAATCTCTCTACCAGACAGGCCAGAGACACAAGCTAGCACACCCTGGTGCAGGACAAGGCTCCCAAGTCCCTCCTCAAGCAAAATGTCCAGGTCTTTTCACTCTCAGGTGCTGCAGTGACTCACTCAGTGTCCTGCCTGCAGCTATGAGGTCACCCTCTGGCAGATGCTCTACCTGTGGCACATTTCCAGTGCTCGTAAAAGGAGTCACTGGAAGAGTTCATGCCAAAGGAAAATGGCACTTGAGCGCTGCTGCCAAGGAATTCTCGGAATTCCCCACCTCCTGTCTTTCAAGGCCACCTTGGAGGCTTTCCTTGAAGTCATTCAGTCATCTTTGATTGAAAGAAGCTGGAATTTCTCATGGGGAATCCTGGCTCATCCCCTGTGCACACCCTGGCAGTACAGACAGTGGTCCTGGCCAGCAGGTCAGACAGACCCAGGGACACACGGACACACCTGCACTGAACTGCACACCTGCAGAGGGAACCCTGCTAGGAAAGCACAACATCCACTCATTCCCCTTTTCCTTGGTGACCTCTGCCTAAATTCAGTCCTCATGTCCTGCTGAGTATCAAAACCAGCAGATTTCTACTAAAACCCAAGTCTTGAACTCCTTCATGGTGATGAGCAGGCAACCTTGGAGGGACTGTTCACAAGGGCCTGGAGTGACAGAACAGGGGGGCAATGAATTCAAACTGCCACAGGGCAGGGTTAGATGGGATATTGGGAGGGAATTCTTCCCTGTGAGGGTGGGGAGGCCTTGGCACAGTTTCCCCAGAGAAGCTGTGGCTACCCTTGGATCCCTGCAAGTGCCCAAGGCCAAGATGGATGAAATTTGGACCAACCTGGGCTAGTGGAAGGTGTCCCTGCCCATGGCAGGGGGTGGAACAGGATGGAATTTAAGATCCCTTCCAATCCAAGCCATTCCATGATCCCATGATTCTATGAACCACTCAGTCTCACTGACCCACAAACAGCCAGGGCCTGCCTGGCCTGAAGCTCTGATGGGTTTGCCAACAACCAAGAGCAATCCTCAAGCCCTTGCTCTGCTCCCTGGATGCACACCAGGATCCAAGCCCTGGAAAGGGGTGGATTTAACCCTCCAGAGAACAAACACCAGGTTACTTACAAGCCTTTGTAGAGGATGCAGCCTGCCAGGACATGGGGAGAGCGCTGGCACGTCTGCAGGATGAGAGCTGCCTTCAGCAAAAGCAGGGGATCCACCTGGGCAGGGAGAACCAGGGCAGTGGGGCCACAGAATCCTGGGAAAGCCCCAAGCAGCAAATAAACAACCACAGTGGCACTGGGGCACTGCAGAGGACAAGCTCATACCTTGGTTTTGTCCAGATGCCAGAGAGAATTGAAAATCCTGTGGAGGTCACTGGTGTTTTTTTGGATGTGCTCAATGTACCTGTCCCACTCCCTGCTCAGCTCCTCCTGGGAAAACACCTGTGGGTGACAAAAACCCCCACAAACACTGTCACTGCAAAGTGTCCATGCAATCCATGTGGGACAGGGCCTGCCAGCATGAGGACAGGAAAAAGTGGGGGAAAATACTGAGGGGAAACTTTTTAGGGTGAACATCTAGCAGAGGTTCAGCAGAGCCCCACAGGACCTCAGAGCAATGGTGACCTGCCCACTTTTCCAGGTCCCACTTCTTGGATGTGTGACCCTTGGCAGGAGGAAGGCAACACAAGGGAACACTGCAGAGCTGGGGCACCACAGACAGTGTTTAAATCTCCCCAAAAGTCACTGTGTCCCCAGTCTCTCATTACCAGGTCCCTCATTGTCATGTCCCAGTCTCTTGTTACCATGTCCCCAGTCCCTTGTTACCATGTTCCAGTCTCTCATTGCTGTGTCCCCATGTTCTTAGTCCCTCATTGTCATGTCCCAGTCTCTTGTTACCATGTTCCAGTCTCTCATTGCTGTGTCCACATGTCCTTAGTCCCTCATTGTCATGTCCCAGTCTCTTGCTACCACATCCCCACATCCTCAGTCTCTCGCTACAATGTCCCAGTCTCTTGTTACTGTGTCCCCATGTCCCCAGTCACTTTGTCCCAGTCCCGTTACCTTGTCTCCACATCCCCAGTCCCTCGTTACTGTCCCCATGTCCCCAGTCTCTCTTTACCATGTCCCAGTCCCTCGTTACTCTGTCCTCACAACCCCAGTCCCTCGTTACTCTGTCCCAGTCCCTCGTTACAGTGTCCCAGTCCCTCGTTACTTTGTCCCCACGTCCCCAGTCCCTCATTACCCTGTCCCAGTCCCTCATTACTGTGTCCCAGTCCCTCATTACCCTGTCCCAGTCCCTCTTTACCATGTCCCAGTCCCTCTTTACCATGTCCCCACATCGCCAGTCCCTCGTTACCATGTCCCAGTCCCTCGTTACTCTGTCCTCACACCCCCAGTCCCTCGTTACCATGTCCCAGTCCCTCGTTACTCTGTCCTCACACCCCCAGTCCCTTGTTACCATGTCCCAGTCCCTCATTACCATGTCCTAGCCCCCTGTAACCATGTCCCCACGTCCCCAGCCCCTTGTTACCGTGTATGCAGCACGCACGGGGCCGTGGTAGAAGGTGAAGAGGCCGATGAGCTGCTCCAGGAGCCGCCGGCAGCTCACGTCAGGCAGCTCCACAGCACAGCCCAGAACCTGCAGCAGACACAGCAAGGGATGGAGAACGCTGCCTGACAGAACTCGGGCACGACAAGTGAGAACAAGTCTCATCGCTTTCACACAAGGACAGGCAACTCTGTGCAGGCAAGCACCCCTCAGAATCACAGGAAAAGGAAATGTAAACATACCCACACAAGAGCCCTGGCACAGACAGGATAAATAAATATCAGAAATGCAGCGCTTCAGACACACTCCCTTCCCACGTTAGATGACCTAACTTGGTGCTTTAATAGCTAAATACTTCAAAATATTCAAATTAACTCATTATTTATATTATGATGATGCTCCATCTAGTTTTTGAACTGCTGAAACAGAAGCAGCAGTGCCAATTAAATGGGGCTGACTGGCCTCAGCCCAGTTCCCGGGGGATGTTTGGGGGCACTTTTGTCACAACTGCCACACACAGCTCTTTATAATCTAAATATCTGTGGACACAAAGATCTGGGGATGCTGAGGGCTAGAAGGAAAGAACAATCAGACTATCAAACAGTGACTGTGTCCTTACAAACCGAAGCACATTGAATCATGTTATGCCCCATGCCTGGAAATGTCCAAGGCCAAGTAGGACTGGGATAGTGGAAGTTGTCCCTGCCCATGGCAGGGGCTGGAACTTTAAGGTCCCTTCCAACCCAAACCAATCTATGATTTTGGATTCTGTTTCCAGCCTTTGGGTGTGGGCACAGAAATGAGGCACTTGAAATTTGTCTGCAGGACACTGAAGCAACTGCCAGGCCTCAGAAAACAGGATTTAAGTTATGAATGAAATTAAATTTGTGCATGGCAAGCCCACATCATAAAAAATAAGCCCTCTTTGTCTGATCCCATCCTTCAGCCGCTGGCTGTTTGCACTCTGTGACTGCTCTGGAGCTCCTGAACTCACCCACAGGAAGTCTCCATCCACCACCACGGCAAACTTGAGCTTCCTGAGGCGGACCAGGCTGGGAGGAGCCCCGGAGATCTCGGTGAGGCAGCGAACAACCCCGGCCATCTGCCCACACAGCAGCTCCTGCTGCTCCGGGATGGTCTGCAGGGAGAAAAGGCTTTAACTTCCCATTAAAAGAACACAGAAAAAAAAAAATCACTGCTGTTTTCAGGTATAAATAAAAAGTAATTATCATTTCAACTCAATTTGCAGAAAGGGTTGTCAGGAATTGGCACAAGCTGCCCAGGGCAGTGGTGTAGTCACCATCCCTGTAAATGTTCAGAAAATGTGTGGGTGTGGCACTTGGGGACATGGTTTAGTGGCAAAGAGGTTGCTGGGCTCATGGCAGAACTTGATTTTAAAGTTCTATCCCAAGCTTAACAACTCTGGGATTCTATAAATCAAAAGCAGTAGAACAGGCAAATTTCTGGGAGAAAAATAATTTGATTGATTTTTCCAGGCAGGAGAAGGACCTGGGACTTATGGAGAGGAATTTTCATCCATTCATGTCACCAGGACAGAGCTGGGCTGTGCTGGCCCATTCCTCAGGGAGGAAGCAGAGTTTAACCCCACTGCTGTGCCCCAAGAGCCCAGCCCTGCTCCACCTGGAGCTAATTGATAAATGGGAGTTCTTAAAACTTCTGTGACTACTAAGTAAGGATTAATCCAAATCACCTGGAAGCCCAACCCCTCCTGATCCAGAACCATCAGCACCCCTCTACAGGTACTGAAATAAAGCAGACGTTACCTGGGGAGGGTAAAAATAACAGATGCCAGCACTTGTAGGATCCCCTTCCTCCTTCACTTTTGAGCCATCATAAAGGAAAAAGTAATTCCACCTAAAAAACATTGGCAGAAATGATTGTGCATTTGAAAACTGTTACCCTCCTCCCTCTCCTTTCTGTTTCTTCAGAAGAGCAATAATAAGTTGTTGCAAATGGAGAGACATGATTCTTTGCACAATCACACAGAGTTTACAAACAAAAGCAGCACCAAAAAGGTCCCTCACGACTAAATTTGACCACTTCTGTGAGTTTAAAATAGGTTCTACAACTCCAACTCTCAGACACGTGGAAGGAGAAGTGGAAAGAAAGTGGATTTGTGAGATATCACAATAATTATCACAATTGTCGAGAATTATTATCCATGTGCATCCCAAGCAAGCAGGAGACAGGAGGGTCCCTCTGAAGATGTGATTATCATTCTGCTCATAATTTCTTGAGCGCACGCATTCGGTAACACTTTCCATCCTGTCCTATCAGCCAGCACGTCGTCACAAGCTCGGAAAGAGCTTCGTGCGGGACTTTTCCCGTCGGAGCAGCCCCGGTCTGGAGCAAAGGCTGCCTCAAGGGCGGCACCGAGGAAGCCGCGCTGCTGCCGGGCCAGGAGCGGGAGGCTGGATCCGCTCCTCCACGGACCCTGGAGTGACCCACGGGCAGGGACCGAGCTGCTGAGCCCCGGGGGCTGCCAGACCTCACCCGCCACCGGGGACAGCAAGCAGCGAAGGGCCGAAGGTGCTTGCCGGGGCACCGGCACGGGGGAGCGGGGAGGGGGCTCACCATGGCGCGGGGCCGGGGCGGGCCATGGCTGCGGGAGGCTGCGGGGATGCTCCGCGCGGTTCCGGGATGCGCCGGGATCGCCCCGCTCGCTCCCGCCGCCGGTTCCGGGCGCGCCGCCGGTCCCGTGACCGCGCACGTGACCGCGCGCATGGCGGCGGCGGCGGGAGCGTGGCGAGCGGGGCGCGCCCGGCGGCGGCGGCGGCGGGGCCAGCATGAGGAGGAGGAGGATGATGATGAAGAAGAAGGGGAAGGCGGTCCCGGCACCGAAGCGGTGCTGCGGCGGCTGCGAGAGGCGCGGTGAGTGCCCGGCCCCCCGGTCCGTGTGTCCGCTCCCCGCCGGGCCCCGCTTACACCGCGCTGTCCCCGCAGGGACGATCTGCTGAGCTCCGGCTTCTGGGCGGCGAGCGCCGGTGAGTGCGGGGAGCGGGGGCTGCGGGGACAGCGGGGACAGCGAGCCCCGGCGCCGCCGCGCTGACCCCGCCGCCCGCAGGAGCCGTGCGGGCCCCGCTGGGCGCGGAGCCGCCCGCCCGCTGCGTGTGCTACGGGCTGGGCCGGTTCGGGCGCTGCCCCACCGCGCGGTACCAGCTCGCCTTCCTGCTGCTGCTGCTGGACGAGCTGCGGGTGAGCCCCGGCACCGGGGGGAGCGGCGGGCTGAGCGCCGGGCCGCTCCCGCTCACGCCGCGCCGTCCCCGCAGGTGCCGCCCGCCCGCTGCGCACTGTTCGACCCGGTCTTCTCGGCGCGGGAGGCGGCGGCGCTGCGAGCGCTGGGGCTGCGCCTGCTCCCGGAGAATGAGGTGAGGACACCCTCGGGTCACACCGCGGGGATCCGCGGACACGGCTCGGCCGTGATGGGCTCGGCGGTTCCCGGGCAGGAAGGGAAACACGGCGTCCAGGGCGCGGCCACGCTGTTCTACATGGTGCACTGCGGGAAGGCGCTGTACAACAACCTGCTGTGGAGCAACTGGAGCCCAGCGGCGCTCTCCAAGCTGGTCATCATCGGGAACAGCTTCCGAGGAATCGAGGAGAGGTCTGGGCACAGCCTAGACAGGCTCTAGTGCCTCCCACCCTGCTTTCCTCTTCTCTGTGCTCCTGCTTTAATTTTATTGCTTCCGAGAGCTATTTCCCTGTTTTGCACGTTTTCGTTGCCATAAAGCTTTCAGTTGTGAGCCCTCTTCCCCTCCATGTCCCACCCCCATGCAGAAAACCTGTCTAAAGGAATATTGTGTCTAACACGGACATCTTCTGTTATTACAGATTGCTGTCCAGAATCTTGGAGAGAGATTATTCTTACATAGCAAAGGTATGAGGCAACAGTTTTAACATTATTGTTTCATGTTGACAACACACCTTTTAATGAGAAAGGAAATTAATTGCCACTGGAAATAAGAGGGGGAGCTACTTTTAAAACCTTTTTGCTAGACACTATAACATAAAAATGAATCACTTTAGAATTGTTGGACATCTGCAGAACATCCTGCACACAGGGGCTGAGGGTAATGTGACACCATTCTCACTGGCTCAGCTTTGCAGGAAGGGGCTTCTTCTGCATTGTCTGCAACTTTTTCCCTGAATGAACTTTAGGTCTTGAAAGGAGTGGAGGAAGTGGCACTCCCCAGTCACCCCCGCTACCTGGACACCTTCAATGACACCTCCGTGCACTGGTTTCCCTTGGACAAACTGCAGCAGCTCTCCCCTGAGGTCTGGGACTTCATGGAGGAGCCGATGTACCGAGATTGTGAGGACCTGGAGATCATCAGGAAGGGGGAGGAAGCTACTGCCAAGTCCTGACCATCCCTGTGGTGGCAGGGCTGGGATCCCCATCTCTTCCCATGGAAGCTTCTGTGCAGCTGAGATGGAGCTCAAGGAGCAACTGTGGCATCAGGCTCTGTCCAAAGTGGCAGCAGCTGAATGCTGAGGTGATGGGACATTTTTATATTTTATTTAATAAAAAAATAAAGCTGAGCTTTGACTTATACTCACTGAACTCCAGCAAACCAATTCCACCAAAACCTTCCTTGAGAGCCTTTCACACTGCAGTGACTGCTCTTTGATTCCTTCCCCTTCCATAACAATTCAAGGCCTTTGCATGTTCTACACACATTTCACAGCATCAGGAAGTGGAAATTATCTGAGGGGTTTGTAGTGGGACGTGGGGTCTGCTTCCCAGTGCACACTTGGAAAAACCCCCCAGCTCTCATTGCTGCTGAGATCAGCTCTTGATCAGTCCCAAGAACACAACCAGGTTGGCTCCCTCCAGGGAAAAAAGCCTTAAGGATCCTTCCCTCACCTCTGCTCTTAACCACTGCAGTCCCACAGCAGAGACAGTTGGGACAGGTCCTGGCTGTGTGCAGCAAAGAGGAGCCCGCTGTGTGAGGGATGTTGTGGGGACAGTAACTCACTGCCAGCACAAGCTGTGACATCTGCCACTACTCGGGAGACTCAGCTAGGCCAGCCCCCACTGAGCTGTTGGAGCAGAGAATGTGATTCCTCCTAACCTGCTGGTAAACCTGTGTCCCAGGTGGCAATTACTGCTTGTTTTCCCTTAGCCTGGCTTCCTGGGCTGGGAAGTCTGGCTCTCCAACCTTTGGCCACTGCCTGAACAGCTCTTCCAAATAAAACCATCCTGGCATCCAGCTCCAGTGTCACTATTTACAAACCTGGAACTTTATTCTAAGGGTTACCCAGAGGCTGTTCCTGGCTGGTGACACAGTTCTCAGTGGGGCCTCACTTGGCCATGTCTGTGAGGTTCTGCAGCGAGGTGGGCATCCAGGTGGTCTCCCCTTGCACAGAGGTCTCACTTGGCCATGTCTGTGAGGCTCTGCAGCGAGGTGGGCAGCAGGAGGCCTCACTTGGCCATGTCTGTGAGGCTCTGCAGCGACGTGGGCACCCAGGAGGCCTCACCTGGCCATGTCAATGAGGCTCTGCAGCGAGGTGGGCACCCAGGTGGTCTCCCCTTGCACAGAGGCCTCACTTGGCCATGTCGATGAGGCTCTGCAGCGAGGTGGGCACCCAGGTCTTCTCCCCTTGCACGAACACCACGCCCCTGTCAATGTAGATGACGATCCTGCCGAAGGTGTAGAGCTGCTTGCCCTCGTGCCGCTTCCCGATGACGGGCATGAAGACGATGTTGTGCTCCTCGGCCTTGGTCTGGATGAGGTCCTTGAAGTTCATGGGCACGGAGCCGGCGGCGGCGCCGATGCCGCGCTGGGCCATGTTCTCGGCCTCGCGCCGCTCCTGCATGGCCTCGTACTGGAAGTCCTTGCGCCGCTCCGTGTGCGTCAGGTACGCGATGTTCTCCCGGGCGCCCGGCTGCATGTACCCACCTGGGGGAGAGAATGAGGAGAACACGGTCCTGAGCTGTTCCCAGAGGGAAGCAGCTCCATCCAGGACACGAATTGGAGTGTGGTGTTCAAGCCTGGGCTCAGAAATCGACTTCTCAGTTTTGGAAAGAGGGCAGATTTCAGGTGCTTCTGCCTTTCTGTTTTATACAATGCAACTCCCAGCCAATTCCCAGCTATCAGCTTTTAGGTAGTAGGGAGAATCATGTGGGAGGGAACTGCTCTTTGATAAGCAAATCATGTGGGAGGGAACTGCTCTTTGTAAAGATAAGGAAAAGAACCGGTACCTCGCCATAAAGAAAATACCCAATAATGACAGCTTTAGAAGTCAAGCCCTAAAGAATGTGTGACAGGCAGGGCAAGGCTGGAAGAGCATCAGTTGTTCAATGGCTCAGGAAGCCACCAAAAATCTGTTTCTGCTTCAGTGCAGTCCAGAACTACTGAGCAGCACCTCAGAGGTGCTCCTTAAGGACAGAGCAAGGCAGAGCCCACTGACTTTCACTGCTCCTGGGAGTTCCTGCCATGCTGCCAGCAGGACCATGCCCCTGTCAGCCTCCCAGTGCTGCCAGCCCAGTGCAGCAGAGCCACCCCCACGAGCCACCTACCCACGCTGGAGGACACGGCCCGGTTCATGATGTCAAGGGCTTCATTGAACTTGTCTTTGATAGAGGGATGCGCCAGCACCTGGTCTGAGAACATGGACTTCCAGCCCAGGTACCACTTGGTGATCTCTTCATAGTTGGGGCTGTTACTGAGCCAAGAGCAGAGCACCTGCAGAGCAAGGGACAGGTCAAAACCAGCACAGGGATCTTTGTGCAGGAAAGACCAGAGTCATTTAACATAGAAAAGACTCTTAAGAGTGTTGAGTCCAATGTGTGAACAATCACCCCCTTATCAACCAGCCCAGAGCACTGAGTGCCACATCCAAGCATTCCTTGGACACCTCCAGGGATGGGAACCCCATCACCTCCCTGGGCAGCCCTTCCAGTGCCTGACTACCTTTCCTTCCATGAGGAAATTCCTCCTGATGCCCAGCCTGAATCTCCCCCAGCATAGTTTAGCACTTGGATTATTACTGTCAGTAAAAGGAATTGTACCAATGACTACAGAGCTCTGAGTGGGAACCAGCCCAGCTCAGCACCAGGACAGCAATTCCTGGACAGGAATCTCTACTAAAACACTCCCCAGTTAATCAAACCTCTTTCCTCAGCCCTCAGTGTCTCACCTGCAGCCATTTTGGGAAGAAGTGTTTCTCCAGCAGCCCAACAAGGCTGGAGACAGAAATCATCCCCTCCCAGTCGATCACCCAGTAAAAAGCATCCATGTGCTGCTGGTGAGGGTTGATGATGAGCTCATTCAGACACATTCCTGGGAAAGGAGAGGACAGTTAGAAAAGAGCCTCATTCAGTTTTATCAGTGCCCTGACCTCTTTCACCCCAATACACAGAACTTGAGCAGCACCTTTTTGTTATCTTAAAGGACAGTGGGGATCTTTGGCTGAGCCTGCCATAAAATGGTGCATTTCCACTTCCAGTGATTACAATTTGTTGCCAGAACTGAGAAACTAAAACCACTTGACTATTTTTTAACCTTTAGCCTCTTTGCATTACCAAACTCATGGTGAAACATTAGAACAGACCAAGGAATTCAAGAGTAACAGAGACATCTTACAGCCTGGTCCTTACCTGACAGCTCTCAAGATATTCCTACCAGCTGGAGATGGATGATTTATAAAAAAGTAGGACAGAAAACCTAGAGAATAACCAGAGTAATTCCCTATATTTTTCTAATCTTCCTGCCTCTGCACAGGACCTCACTAACAGCAATCTTTGATGTAACACTGGCACCCACATTAGCAAGGATCTTTCTTGTCAGGGGGAAGGTGCCGCTGCCAGCACTGTCTGTTATCTCACCGAGTTTAGGCACAATGTTCTTGACCATGAAAGCCTCCCAGGAGCCAGGAGTGAAGACATCCTTCCAGGGCTGAAGGATGAGCTTGGCAGAGGAGTCGCTGGGGTGCCACTTCTGCAGGGCGTTGGCCAGCTTGTTGCGGATGGGCGAGTACAGCGGCTCCAGGCGCGCCTGCATCAGCGGCAGCCAGGGGTGGATCCACGAGTGGATCGGCACCGTGTCCGTCAGAGGATTCCAGCTCTCCACCTTGGGGCACAACAGGGAAGATTAACTAAATCCAGCCACCAGCAGCAAGTTTTTTTGAAGCACAAAGACTCAGAAGAGGAAACTGAGGAGGTATTTCTGGGGCTCTTGTGCTCAGGTGCAACCCCCGACTCCTCAAACCATCAGCAGAGGCCGCACACTAGTGTTTGGGAGTTCCAGCTGGAATACAAACACTGTTTCACAACATGGCTTTGCTCTCCCCAGACCTCTTCTCTCACCTCCTTCTGCAGCTTGGGAAAGATGAGCTGATCCAGAATGTTATCCAGTATCCACACAGGAACAACATTCACCCAGCTATCCAAGAAATCCACCATGGATCCACAGTTCCTCGGCTGCCACCGCGCCACAATGTTCCTGACATACGGCATCCAGATCTCCCACATCAGTCTGGGAAGAAACCCCAAATAAATCAAAGTGAAGCTCAAAGCTACAGCCTGTGCCTAAATAAACCAAACGGGAGCTGTTAGTTAAAGCTGCTTCTCTCCTGTAGCTGCAAACTGCTTTTTAACAGACCCAGCAAGGGAACCCTTAGGAAAAGCTGCCTTGTGTCTGCTCCTTTCCATCCCTGAGGAAGCAGCACAGGAAAATGATGAACACATGACAGATCATTTGTTCTTTACCTGTGGAAAGCATCTGTTGACAGGTCCTGCCCACTGTGGGATAACAGCTGGTCGTTTTCCAGAAGGCTCTTCCACTTGGCTATGATCTCTGTGCCATATGTACAGTCCTGGGAATGACAGGGCACAAATGGTCCATATCCTTTCCCATTAATTCCAGCTGGGATCTGCACAGAGCAGGCTGAGGGTGTGCAGAGCACAGCCAGCCTTCCCACCTCCTCTCACGGCAAGCCAGGAGCTTGCAGTCTTAATTCCAGAATCCCACAATCATTGAAGTTGGAAAAGAACTCCCAGATCATTTTGAGCCCAACCTGTGACCCCTCCTCACCTTGTCACCAGCCCAGAGCACTGAGTGCCACATCCATAATTTCTTAAATTACTTTCAGTGAAGTCCTGCCAGAGAAAAATCCCACTTTACAGCACTAATACACCTCCAGGGGGAGAAAAGGAGAGTCTGAACTTTTTCCAGGTGTACAGAGATCCAGACTCTATCCCAGCCTAAATGGCACTGAGAACAGACTGTGCATCTCTGATACTTGACAGACAAACCTCTCCTGCTTTTGCTAAAAAAAAAAAAAACAACAGCTAGAGATTTTTTTCACCACATTTTTCATCCCAACACTCAGAGAAGAGATTGGTTTTAACCTTACAAACCCCTAAATTTTTACCCGGAAAATGCCTGAGATTGGGGACAGTAGAGAGTTTAATTTTGTCTCTTCTTTTTCTCCACACTGATCAGGAGTTTAGAATCCCAGACTGGTTGGAAGGGACCTTAAAGCTCATCTCATTCCACCCCCTACCATGGGCAGGGCCACCTCCCACTAGACCAGGACACTTGGGACAAAGTAACAAAGATTACTGGAGCCATCAAGTGAGAACTGCAGATAACTCAAACCAGCACACACCTTGAGGGGATCCCAGTTCTTGAAGTATTCCTTCATGAGAGGATAAACTATGGCCACTGCCAGGTCGACCCTGTCTGACATCCTGTACTCCTCATAGTACTTGTCCTGCAGAGTCTCAAAGATCTTTGCACACTCATCCAGGGTCAGAGGGTTCTCACAGCCCGGCTGCATCCGCCTCTCACACTCCTCCACCATGTCCAGCACCTTGCTGAGGTTGCTGATGGCCTTCTCCTCGTGGGACAGCACCTCAGCCATCTTCTGGATCTCGTGGCTGAGGTTGACCACCATGTCCCTCTCGTACTGCAGCTGCCGGTCGCTCTGGATGATCTCCTGCTCCGTGATGTCGATGAGCAGCTGCAGGTTGTGCTCCAGCTCGGGCAGAGCAAAGCCCTGGGGCTTGGAGTCCTTGCCCAGGGGCTGCTGGGGGCTGTCATCTGGGATGTTGTGCTTGTGGCTGATCTGGCTGTAGCTGTAATAAACCTTCTGCTCCCGGCCCGTCATGTCGATCACCTGCCAGCACACAGAACAAATTCTCTAACAAAAACCTCTCAGCTTCAAAAAAAAAGAAAATCCCTGGCTCCAAATTGAAATCTGGAGATTTTCAAGGACCTTAATTACTCCAGGAGGCTTCTAACATACACTGTATTTGAACAAGGGGATTGCCTCCACAATCAGACATAGGAGTTACAAAAACTAAGAGACAATCTGGAATCAGAGCCAGAAGAAGCATCTCCTCATCTCATCCCAGTTTCAGTGAATGATTCTACAAGCAGTAATCTTGCCATTAGTTACTGCACTTAGAACTTTTATAATTTAATAAAGATACTTTAATTTCAGTTTCATAATTTTATTGAATGCACACCAGGCAAAGCCCTTACTGTCACAAAGCCCTTACTGTCCCTTTGAGGTAGAAGATCAAACAATCCCTAAAAGGACAACTGTGCTGTCAGAAGTGGGTGAGTGTTGATTATGACAAATGTGAAATAATTAAACTTATTGCAATTAACCCCCTACACACACATTTAATTAAACTTGTCACCACGTCCAGATGACACAGAGCTATTACATGGCTCAGGGATGAGCTCCAGGAGGCTGCACAGGAATTCCTAGGACTGGCTTTACTGAGCTTACTGGTGCCTAAAATGTGCTGGTGACACCAAAGAGCCCAAACTGTTCCTCCACGGGTCACCTCTTGGCTTATCAACCTCACCTTGACCTGGGACAGCTCCTTCTGAGGGGCTGCAAGCTGCTTGCTGATCCTGCCCTTGGCTTTCAGCTCTTCCACTGTCTTGTAGCTGTACTTGGGCTTTTTCTTGCCTCCATTTGGGTCCTTCCGCCACTGGCTGAGCTCCTTCTGAAATTCCTGGACAAAAACAACAGAGTTGTGGTAGCTGCTCTTTGTCACACCCCAATTCTGCCTCTTTTCACAGGAAAATAACCATCAGATCCATGAGGAATATGTATAGGAAATAACTGGGAAGTGGAGAAGCTCATGCAAAACCAGCTTGGATGCTGTGGGCCAGTCACCCACCATGTGGATTAAATGAAGACAAAGCCTATTTATGTAGGGGACTCTTCAAAGGAGGGATTCTAGCAAAACTAAAGAAATAGAGTGAGACAGAAACAACAAAGAAAATTACAGCAACAAGGAAGATCAGCCTGAACAAAATCAACATGCTGTGTTTGGCTTGTCTAAAATGAGCCCAGTTTTCTCTGACACACAGAAATCAAGAAAACTGAATTCTGTACATACAGCATAGCAGGGAAACAGCAAGAGCCCCAGGAATACCTCCTCAGTTTCCTCTTCTGAGTCCACCACAGGGAAGTCCTGCAAGGACTGTGGGGTCCTCTCGGAGCCGTAAGCACCCACAGCACCTTTGCCTTTCCTCTGCTTGGCCTCGATGGGATTGATGATTCCTGGCAGGATGGGAATGGGGTCAGCAGGAGCAGTTTGTGTGCTGGGAGAACAGCCAGGCTTTCCCTATGAGTTACCAGATCAGCACCAACACCCTCCCTGGCACTGCCTCCAGCACCGTGGTACTTCCAACATCACCAATTCCCTATAAAATCACTTCATCCCAGCACACACCAAACTGCCAAAGCACAGCCTTACTCCCAACCACATTTCACTGCCTTTTTATTCTGCCACATTAAAACAGCATCTCCTTCCCTGTGGGATGACCACCTTTGGAATTTACTGCCTTTTTTCTTGCTCCTTTTCTCTTGTACAATACCCAGAGGAGCAAACGAGCACAGGTCAGTTTGAACACCCCTGAATCTCACCACAAGGCCCAGATCACTGGCAGGAAAACAAGAAGGAAGTTTAAGCCAGATGGCAGCTCTTTAAGGAATCCAACCTCTCCCCAGAACCCCCAGTTAATAATAATAAACCACCAAACACATTGACAATACCTTGAGCATTCTTCCCCAGACCCCTGCCAGGGACATATCCCATCTTCTGGAGGAGCTTCTGCCCAATTCCTTTAGTGTGTCTCTCCCAGCTGCCAAAATCCACGAAGGACTTGGAGCCCCCTACGAAGCCTTTCTGGCTGGGCTTGAAATTTCCACCCTGTCAAAAACAAACACATAAAAACCTGCAGCCCTGGGGCTTCAAATAACCAAAATGTGCAAAACTCCCCTCAGAAGGTTCTTCCTCCCCATGCTGGAACCATGCTTGTGCATCCGTAAAGCACCACTGGAGATTCCTGAAATTCCTCAGATGGGAAAGGAAAACCCTGAAAAAACTCTGGCTGACAACCTGACAGTTCTCAGGTTCCACCACCAGATTTAGCTGAAGCTGATTCCTGATTCTTTCTGGTTTTAACTGAAGAGTTTGAGTTTTACTCTATAACATGTCTGGATTTGTTAGTTCTGTCAAAGTAGAAAACTAAAGTCTCTGAAAGATGGGAAATCACAGGAATTCTCTTCTTTAAACCTCCACAGACCAAAAGGAATATTGAAAAAAATTAGAGGACTGATCCCTAAGGACACACAGTTATTATACCAATGTACAGTTGTACCAGTGATTTATTATCCTGATTTTTATCAATGTATTTGTATCAATGATACAAAATCCCAAGCAAACACTTCCCTGACACATTTGGGTCTCTGGCTTAATTATTCCTCCCTTTTTTTAGTGCTCTATTACATCTCGCTGCCCTCGACCACAGCCTGAGTTTCACAAACCTAAAACAGAGAACAGCAAATTTCCTGGAGAACTCACTGTTTTCAACTTCTTGGGCACAAACTCCTTGGGAATCTCCTCCTGCTTCACAGGTTTCTCATCCTCATCCGAGTCCTCATCCGAGAGCTCCTCGGCCGCCCCCTTCCTCAGCCCAGCGCTCACAAAGCTCACGGGGGCTGAGTAATCCCTGGAGCTGCCAAACAAGAGGGAATTCTGCTCATTCCTGCAGGAGGCTGGGAGCTGCTGTGCCTCACACCTCCCAAAAATGGGATATTAAAGGCTGCCGAGCTGCTTAACCCTGCTTTGCCAGGCAATCCCCATCCTCCTCTGCGTGCTGCAGGGAGTGAGCACAGGGAAAATCCCTACAGGTGAGAGGGACAGCCCAGCCGGGGATGTCCACAGCTGGGAAAGACGCAGGGAACAGGGGGAAAAGCTCCAGGGAACGGGCGGGGGGAAGCTCCAGGGAACAGGGCGGGGGGAAGCTCCAGGGAACAGGGAGGGAGCTCCAGGGAATGGGGGGGGGAGTTCCAGGGAATGGAGGGGGAAGCTCCAGGGAACAGGGAGGGAGTTCCAGGGAACGGGGAGGGAGCTCCAGGGAACGGGGAGGGAGTTCCAGGGAATGGGGGAGAAGCTCCAGGGAACGGGGAGGAAGCTCCAGGGAACGGGGCAGCTCCTGGGGTCCCTGAGCGGCCCGGGGGTCGCAGCCCGGCCGCACCGCTTCCCGCCGAAGCTGGGCCGCTCCTCGTCCGAGTCTCGCTCGGCCCACACGCCGTAGGTCGCCTCCTCCTTGGTCTGGCGGTGTCGCTGCCGGTGCGGGTTGAATTCGTTCTGCAGGTCCCAGTCCGACACCTCGAAGCTCTCCATCTCCACGCCATCGTCTCCGTCCGTGCCGTACAGGTGCGACATCGACATCGCGGCACCGCCGGGATGTCCCCGGCCCGCTCAGGGATCCCCGGCCCCTCAGGAACTCCTGACCCGGGACCCCGGCCCCCTCATGGAGCCCGGCCCCGGCCGCGCCGCCACACCGGATGCGCCGCCTTCACTTCCGGTCGCCGGCACGCGCGCGAGCCCCGCCCCCAAACCATCGAGCCGGCGCGGCCGCGCAGGTGGCACCGCCTTGTGGGGAGTAGAGGGGGAGGAGCCCGCGCGATTAATAATTAAAATATTAAATATCAAATCAACGCTTTAATGGTGTTCGACACCAGGGGTGGGGTGGGGGGCATATATTAACTCTGCAATAGCCTCTGCAGGGTCAGGGAGGCGGTGGGGGGGGAGGGCACACGCACCACAAAGGCTCTGCAGGGCCAGGGGGGCTGTTCCTGACCCTGGGAATTGGAAACAGCAGGACCAGGCTGGCTCTTCCCGATCCCAGGAATACGGAACAGCAGGGATGGGAGGGCTGTTCCTCCCACACCGGGAACAGGATCACGAGACACACACACACGCCATGTACAGAATCCTCCAGGCACGGCACGGGAATCTCCTCCCGTCCCCCCGGCTTTCCACAGCTGCATTCCCCACGGAGCGCTGCGACCGGCCGGGGACGTTCCCGCCGTGGAGCACGTTTGGCCTTTGCAAATAAATGCAAATACATTCCTGGAGCGCAGTCATTTGGCAACAGTAGGAGCAAGCAATATGCTTGGAGAACAGATTTCCACGGGCCCACTGCACGCTCTTCCTTCTCGGGCAACAACAGGCTGTTGGCAGCGTTCTGGAAGAGACAAAACACAGAACCTCAGGAGCAGGACTTCTTCAGGAGCAGGATCCCCTCAGAGCCAGGATCCCCTCAGGAGGAGGATCCCCTCAGGAGCAGGATCCTGTGAGGGCCAGGATTCCCTCAGGAGCAGGATCCTGTGAGGGCCAGGATTCCCGCAGGAGCAGGATCCTGTGAGGGCCAGGATTCCCTCAGGAGCAGGATTCCCTCAGGAGCAGGATCCTGTGAGGGCCAGGATTCCCTCAGGGCCAGGATCCCCTTGGGAGAAGGATTCTCTCAGGAGCAGGATTCCCTCAGGGCCAGGATCCCCTAAGGAACAGGATCCCTTCAGAAGCAGGATCTTCTCAGGGACAGGATTCCCTAAGGAGCCCCTAAGTAGCAAAATCTCCTCATGGGCAGGATTCCCTCAGGGTCAGGATCCCCTCAGGAGCAGGATTCCCTCAGACTAGCACAGCAACGCCTGACTGAGGGTTTAAAGATGACACAAAAAATGGCCAGAAAGGAACCAATTCTCAGCTCAGTACAAGGGGGATACACAATTCCTGATCTTCCCTCAGTGCTTCTGATCTTTTTCTAGCCCATATGCTTGTAGACAGAAACTTGCTCTTAAAGGATTAGTTTTAGTACCAAGAATGGTATTTTATGCTTTAGCATGAAGGAAGAACATCCAACACATCAACAGTTGTCTCTGGAACAGCAGCCCAAGGCAGCAGCTTTGTTTTCCATCATGTTTCCCTTTGTTTTCTATCCCCTTCCTCAGGTCCATGGCACGTCTTTGGAGGCAGCTGGGGAGCAGCCCAGCTCATCCACGCATTCCATGTGTCCCTGCTACCCGCAGGGATGGGCTGCAATAACCCTCCCAGGCAGCTGAGTTTCATTTTGCAGCTTTAATCCCCTTCCCAGAGCTCAGGAAAAGAATTCCTTACAAATGGTCCCACACAGCAGCATTGTGTGGGAAGATCGGAGGCGACTGTGAAGGATCCCTGGCACCAGGAGTGTGCCTGGAACCCCAGCAGATCCACAGAAATCACACAAACCAAGTGCTGGTCCTGGAGCAATGCAGGATTTGCCCAAATCCCCCAAAATTAAGTAAATAGGGTCTTACCTGGAAATCATTAATTTTCTTAGTGAGAAGATGACGTGTTCTGAGTCACCTGGAAGAGCCCCAGAAGAGAAGGGTCAGCTTTGAGCCAGCATTCCTCAGGGAAGGGAGCAGGGAACGGGTACCCTGGTGTGTCCCAAACCCTCAGGGTACACCTGGCTCTTACCTGCAGGTGACCTTTGAGATTGGCCGGTGTTTTATAATCCCCCTTTAAAACCTGTGGAAAGAGAACCTGGAGTGACTCCCTGGGGCAGTGGAATCACCTCTGGGTCACTGCTGTCAGCCATTCCCAGCCTTGCCAGGGGAAAGGCTGCACCTTGAGTGCTCTGTCCTGCTGGGCCCCTCTCCAAAACAGATATGGAGGGGCTGGAGCACATCCAGAGAAGGGAACAGAACTGGGGAAGGGGCTGGAGTACCAGGAGCAGCTGAGGGAGCTGGAAAAGGGGCTCAGCCTGGAGAAAAGGAGGCTCAGGAGGGACCTTCTGGCTGTGCACAGCTCCTGACAGGAGGGGACAACTGTGGTGGGGTCATGCTCCCAGGGAACAGGGACAGGAGAGAGGAAACTGCATCAAACTGTGCCAGGGGAGGATCAGGTTGGACACCAGGAGGAATTTCCTCATGGAAAGGGTGGTCAGGCTTTGGAAGGGGCTGCTCAGAGGGGTTTGGAATCCCCATCCCTGGAGGTGTCCAAGAAATGTGTTCCATGTGCCACTCAGTGCTCTGGGCTGGTGACAAGGTGGGGATCGGGCACAAGTTGAACTCGATGGTCCTGGGAGACCTTTCCCATCCTGAATGACTCTGGAATTCTGTGATTCTGTTTTCCCTGTGTGAGCCTGTTTCCCCCCTGCTCCATCCCGATCTGGTTCAGGAGCTTCCCTTGCTCCGAGGGCTCTGTGAGCCCCTGGCCTGTCCCCTCCATGGCAGTGCCACTCACCCTGTGCGTGTTGTTGACAACCAGCGGGTCGGGGTGGCCGTAGTTGGGGGGGTTGGCGTAGGGGTCGTAGCCGAGCCTGGCGAGCATGGGGGCGATGTGGGCCATGTCCTGCAGCACATCCTCGGGGATGTGCCCGATCCATTTGGATAACGCCTCCATGTTCACCGGCTTGATCACCTGGTCTGTTGACCTCTCTATCCTGGGGAAAATAAAGGACGAAAACAAAAGACACAGTGGTTGGATTTCATGCGTGTGCTGGGCTCACACACAGCTCGCTGCCACCTCCACACAGAACCACAGGACAGGACCTTAAATCCCATCCCATCCCACTCCCTGCCATGGGCACAGACACTTTCCACTATCCCAGATTGTTCCAAATCCTGTCCCACCTGGCGTTGGGCACTTCCCTGGATGGGGTAGCTTCCATCCCTCACAGCCCTGCTCTGGGGAAGCAGACCCTGGCAGGGGGTTCCACAACCCCAGAGGCTGGGTCCTCCTGTTTAGCATCATGGAATCATTAAGGCTGGAAAATTCCTCTAAGAGAGTGAGTCCAAACATTCCCCCAAGACTGCTGAGGCTACCAACCACTGACCCATGTCCCCAGCTGCCACATCCACACAGCTTTTAAATTCCTTCAGGGATGGTGACTCTACCACTGCTCTGTTCCAATGCTTAATTACCCTTTCAGGGAAGGAATTTTCCTTTTGATCCAACCTAAACCTCCTCTGGCACAACTTGAGGGTGCTTCTCTTTTCCTACAGGAGGGATCCATCCTGCACTGGGACAGGGGGTTTCACCAGGACACCTCTCCTTATCAGAGGAAAACAATGTAAGATGTGTGGGCTGTAGCACAGATTAGTGACCCCTATGAATATTCAAAACCTGATCTAAGCAACCTGGACCAATTTACTCTGAGCAAACAGGGAAGTAGAGCTGGCTGCACTCCCAGGGCATCCCAGAAAACTGGAGCAGCTGCACATCCCCCGTGGCTCCTGTGCCCTCAACATGAGGGCACCAGCAACTGATACAGAGACTTGGATAATTCCTTTACACAGCTGATTAAATTTTGCTAAGCCTGACTTAAGCCTCCATTTAGAAAAGAAACAGCATTAAAAGAAGAAAAGAAAGTGGGAGAAGGCAAACACCCCCCACACATGGAGAGGGCAGGAGAGACTGCTGGGTGTGCCTCCACTGAGCAGGTATTGCTGTTATTCTGCAATACCAACCCCAGACCTGGAAAGAACTATAGCTCATCATCATTGGCAGCACAACTAATCACACCAAAGATGCATCTGAGGACGGGTGGAGAAAGAGGCATTAAAGAGCTCACGTTTCAGAGTAAGCAGTTCTTTGCAAATTAGAGACTGAAATAATTTCTGCAGTGTCAAGAGAGATTAAACAGTCACCTGCTCCTGAAATCCTTGCTTGACAAGCTGTTCTGTGGAGTACAACAGATTGGGAGCATTAAAGCCATCTCTTACTTGGGAACACAAACCCCACTGCAGTACAACGTGCTGTCCCTCCTGCCCCAAAACCACACGCAAACACCAGCAACGCAGCTCTGTCCCCAGTTTTAGCCTGCTTTGTGCAGTGAAAACTCCTCAAAAAGCTGAGGAAGGAGCCAAGACTCACTTGGAAAGGGACACCCCACCAGGCTTCCCGATGAGCTCCTCGTGGTGCAGCACCGTGTCGCTCCAGGAGATGTCCAGGAACCTCATGATGTTGTGCATGGACTGCTCGGGGTGCAGCACCAGCTGCTCGTAGTAGACAGGCAGGCAGCGGGCGCGGCCGATCTCCAGGCACTGGGAATACATCACCTCGATGGCCTTGTTCCACTTGGTCAGGCAGTCCCGGTAGCTGTTCAGGTCAAAGCCGGCAATCGTCACCTTGCGCGTGATCATGGAGTGCACCGAGGCGCGCCCGTCCCGCACCATCAGCAGGAACTTGGAGTTGGGGAACAGCCGGGACAGGTACACCGAGGACTTGAGCGTGAAGGGGTCCTTGTTGCACAGGTACCTGGCGGGCTCGCCGTGCTTGGCGATCACTTCCAGGATGAAGGCCTGCATGGCCGCATCCAGCACCTGGTCCGTCACCCCCGCCTCGTCCAGCCGCATCTTCTCGCGGCCGGACTTGGACCAGGCCTGGCGCATGGCCAGCACGCGGGGGATGATGCGGGTCTCCTCCCCGCAGCGCACCTCGGGGTGGGCGTCCAGCATGGCCCTCATCAGCGTGGTGCCGCTGCGGGGGACGCCGCCGATGAAGATCAGGGGCATGTCCTTGCTGTACC